TTGTAGCTTAAGATCATCTAGGGGAGCTCTTTAGTGTAGTAAGTGTGAGAGCTTTTAGTGAGTAGTGACTTAGCCATTTGTGTGTTTAGTGATTATAGTAACTAGAATTATTGGATAGGTGACTTGCAACCCTTGTAGAGCTAGAGCAAGTTTGTATTTCGCTATTTGTCATACTAATCAAATTGCTCTAGTAATCTTGTAGATTTTTTAAATAGGCTATTCACCACCTCCAGCAATATTAGGACCTTTCACCGGGGCCCGCTCCCATCGGTGGCGGGTGAGGAGCTGCGTGCGCTGTGTGAGATCCACGACGGCGTATTCCTGATCTATGCAGCCCCAACCTCCATGGACTTATTGTCAGCGGCCCGGCGGGTGAGGAGGAGCTGCGCACACTGTGCGCCACGGAGGTACATGCCGGAGGTATGGGAGCTGCTGTGCGCTGGAGGTAGGGATGCTGCCGAGGCAGATCCCATCGTGCGCCAGACATGGATAGCAGGGCGGCGCAGCAGAGACGGACGACTGAAGGGAGAGAAGGGGCTGCCACAGGAAGAGATGGGACCTTCGAGAGAGGGGGAGGGCCGTCAGAGTGAGAGAAGGGGCGCGCGCCATGAGCATTGGAGGTTCCGTATGACGCGGGGAGGAAACGGCTGCATGGGGGCCGGGGGTGAGCCCCCATTCTCCTATAGAAATGGGGTCTCAAAGGTGGATTTGCGTGTCCACCCTAAATTGGGAGCTCTAGTAGAGGGCCAATTGAAGCTACGTTTTTAGTCTGGACATCTATATTTAGCTATAGAGATTTAATTAGTGGCCCTGTTCGAATTGTTCTAAAAAAGCAAAAGTATCTGCCTGAACTGTGAGCCAGTGTCTTCTAGGACACGAGATCGAAAATATGGCATGTCCTCCAGATCTCGTCCCTCTCGCTGCTCGTGTGTGGCTCAGGGCACCACTGCGGCGTTGCATAGCCTCGAGCTCTCGACGCGTCGCTGTAGCCGGCAGGTGGCATGCAGACGCTGGCTTCACCTTCTGACGCGGGAAGGTGGCCGTAGATCTCGACAAGTGAATCACAGGGGCGGACTGCGGATGACTCCACTTCGGGAATAGATGCTTCCGTCCATTTTCAATGTCCCACCAAGTGAGGGGCTTGTTTAGATGGCGAAAATTTTTGCAAAATATACTATAGCACTTTTCGTTGTTATTTGACAATTAGTGTCCAATCATAGTCTAATTAGGCTTAAAAGATTCGTCTCGTGAATTTCGTCTAAACTGTGTAATTAGTTTTATTTTTTTATTTATATTTAATGCTTCATGCATGCGTCCAAAGATTCGATGTGATGGGAAATCTGAAAAATTTGACAAAATTTTCTGGAACTAAACTGGACCTGAGTGCAATGTCGGGGAAAACTGAAAGCAAACTGTTTCTCTGGGTCTAATTGGTTGATTTATAAAATTTATCATACTAAAGATTTGGCAAGCCAGGCAAGTATTTGGTTTGCTACCAAAACTTGTCAAACTCTCATATTTGGCTTGGTAAATCTGTGGCAATTTTTTTGTCTAACTTCTGACGTATCAAATCTTTGGCATGACAAATTTTCAAACTCAACCAAGCAGGCCCTTTACCTCTTCGATTAAAATATAACCTAGGTCGAATTTTTCTCCTCAAACTCTAAAACTGACATCGTGCCCCTTCAACTTTAAAAACCATTTAAATTACCTTTCTTCCCCGATAGAAGTGGTTTTCAAGACGATTTCATCCTTCTCAAGTTTTAAAAGTATGGCAATTACATGTTAATGTTTTTGAACCATAAACATATCTCTACGCTTTTAATTTTTTTTGAGAAAATGCTAGAGATATACGAACACGACAAACCCAAATAAAATATTTAGCACGTGAAAAGTATCTTCTACAAGCTTCCAAATTTTAGTTTTAGCCCTAGGAATGGAAAAAACTCAAAAATTTATGGAAAGTTTCCAAAACATTCTAACCAATGTCTAAACATGTTTCTAAAACTTTCCACAATAAAACACAAGATGCAATCAAGATAAATGCATAGCATAATAATACATTCAATGTTATTGATGTTGCATTCTTGCTAGTTGTATCTCATATTTTTATTGTGGAAATTTTTAAACACATATGGATATCAATTAGAACATTTTGAAAAATTTCCACATTTTGTAGATATTTTCCTATTTTCCTGGAACTAAATCTAATCTAAAAAACTTCTGGAGAGGTTTTTACAAAAGATCTAAATATTTTATATGGGTTTTCATGTCCTAGTCTATCTCTAGTATTTTCTCATAATTTTTATGAGCTTAGAGATAGTTTTTAAAGTTCTAAAGTCTTAGGGGGTGTTAGTTTTGGAGGCTGCGTCTGCGGCTTATGACCTAGTACTAGTAGCTATATGTAAAACTGTTGTAGCCGCTGTAAGCAGACACGATGAACTATTTCAGCGGTACTTTTCAGCGAATGAACAGTGTTTTACTCTCACAACAAATCAACATAAACTAAATTTCAGCGAAACGAATAGGGCCAAGATATTTACTGGATTTTATACTTAAAAAAAAGATGATTCTCCTTGAAAATCACCTCAAACTGCAGCGGTTGTGCGTTTCCAATGTTTTTTAAGAGTAGAGAGGTCAAGATATATAACTTTAGATTAAAGTTTAAGAAAGAAAATCAGACTATAAAATAGTTCAACTAAAAAATGGATGGGATGAGAGGCGCATAAATGGGCTTTGGTCGAACAGAACAAGACAAGTGCTGTCCGTATAGGCGACTTCACTCCTCTTGGGCTCTATATCGTCAATAAGCTACATCATCAACTGTGAGAAAAATCAGACGACACCTTCTCCAGGCTATCGCTTTTCAAGCCTTCTCTCTTCCATGGATTGTGATTAATCCGATGTGGACGGCGAGGCCACTAGCTAGCTAGAGACGTGCATCTAGTCGTCTAGCACCCTGTTCGTTTGATCGTATCAACCATATTTATCAGTCATGATATAGTATTTTTCTCTTACAACAAACAGCATCAGACAGCTTATAAGCTACAGAAACGATCAAGCGAACAGGGTATAGAGCGTTCAAAATGCTCAGTCCACGGCTTGCAACCTTGGACTTTACACGACTAAACATTTATTAGGACAGCTCCAATAATTAATTTTTAAGTTATTTCTAAACTTTTTTCTTATATTTTAATAGAAGATAGAGAAAAACTAAATCTTAATTAAGAGCTAAGCTCTTTCACATATTATAAAGTTATGTGAAAATGTCACGTGAGACCATCTATATTATTGGCTTATAGAAGTTGGACATGACATTTAGCACCGGACACCGGTTATTTATCCAGCCCATCCTTTTCTCTCCAGTCACGTTTTTTACTACTATAGGATAAAATTTATTCACGAATCACGAATGAATAGTCAATGAAAGAAAGGGTGAATAATTACGGAAGGTGTTCTACGGCACTAGAGAACAAAAACAGCTCTTGAAGAACTAATGCACTCGAGTGAGCATATTAAAGAGTAAAGACAGCCTGCGCATACAGTTGCTAAAATCAATTAATAATCCAAGGCAAACGATTGCTAACGAGGCTCCATCAAGCCTTTCTTGTACACAACGACAACAAATTTTTTTATTCAGTAATTTCAGTAAATAGTGCAAAAGACAAGAGACTAGTTTGAACGGTTCGCTTAAATTTATCAGCCCGACTTACCAATTATGGTACAGTGTATTTTCTCTCGTAATAAAACAGCATCAGCCGAACAACCCTCTCTGATATTCACGCTACTTGATACAGTCTCTCCCTTCTCTATATTAATTAGCACTCGTACCGTTAGAGATGTCTTTATACTGTGATGTATGCATCATATATGCGTGTATTTGGCTTGTATTGATACTTCTTCTTCTGTATCGATACATCTATATTATGCTTTCAAAAAAATTGTTGCAAAACAATAAAGAAATAGTTCAAGTGCTCAGAATCTAGACTTGAGGCAGTGTTCTCCCGAGAAACCAAAAACAATAATCCAAAGAAGAACACAGCTAGCCGAAGCTACTATTGCTGCTGAAGGAAAACAACTGCTTCCTCCGGTCCAGTTTCTAAAACATTTTATTTACGTCAACGGTCAAACTTTATGAACTCTGTGAGTTTACAACTACCTTGTACATAAACCAAAAAATTCTACGAGAGAAGATAGTAGGCTATGTACTAATAGTGACGAGTTAACTACTATTATGGGGGTGTTTGGATTGCTCCATAAACTTTGCTCTATAAATTTCATCATAGAGCAACTCTATGAAAAACTGTAGTTTGTGGAGCACTTCTTTATGAGCTCTCACAATTCCACCTCTTTTTCTTGAGTAGAGTGTGTGAAGCTGAAACCGTTTGGCTAAATAATATGGAGTGGAGATGAAAAACGTGGAGCGAAACCGTCCCAAACAACCCCTATATGGATGGGTTGAAAGCTAAACAACGAAGATTCGTGCGGTCAACAATAGGCTGTATTATTAGCCTTTCTTAGAGTGTAACGGTCATTCATTTCATCTCAGTCCTTTCGTCTAGAGAGTGTTCGAACTTCAATGGCCATGTTTGGACATTCAACCTGCCCATCCATTTCTTTATCCAAGCGTGGAGGACGGGCCTCTAGCATCTTCTTAAGCAAGTGGCTAAGTGAGCAACTTCCAGCAACTAGCAACATGGGCCCGTTCGCTTCTCTTAGGAGCCATAATATTTCAGCGAACGAACAGTATTTTTCTCTCAAAATAAATCAACGAATAGTACTTTTAGTCATGACTTTTCTGGCTTTTCAGCAAAACGAACAGGGCCATGGAGGCGGACTACGCTGTCGTCCTCTCGTTCTTCTTCATCTTTGCAATCCACCGCCGCCTCAACCGCGGCCATAGCAAGAATACGAGCATGCAACAGCAGCCATCGGGGCCTGTCGCTGTCCCGGTCCTTGGCCACTTACACCTCCTCTAGAAGCCGTTCCACCATGCGTTTATGCGCCTCGCCGCGCGCTACGGGCCTGTGTTCTCCCTCCGGCTCGGCTCGCGCGACGCCGTGGTCGTGTCGTCTACAGACTGGGCTAGGGAGTGCCTCACAGAGCACGACGTGACCTTCGCGAAGCACCCGACCTTCCCCACGTTGGATCTCATGACCTATGGGGGCACCACGATCGGCACCCGCGCCTACGGCCCGTACTAGCGCCACATCCGCCGCGTCATCACGGTGCACCTCCTGTCCACTCACCGCGTGAGGTCCATGCTCCCCGCCATCGAAGCAGAGGTGCGTGCCATGGCACGGAGGTTGTACCGTGCTGCCGCGGCCGCTCCCGGTGGCACCGGCGCCGCGAGGGTGGAACTAGGGGGAGTAGCCCTGCTAAGGGCAACTTTGGCAGTACGGGGAAATAAAGCCAGGGACTGTAGCCCCGAGGGAGAATTTTTTTTGGATCGTCCATTCCCCTCGTCACCTCTGGGAAGACATCCACGTACGGGGAAGCTGCCCTGCCGTTGTTTGGCAGACTTTTTCCGGGGAAGAGAACCGCGCTTTTTCCTTTTTCAGCTATTTTGGACAACTTCAGTACAAATAATTGATAAACCATGTCTTAAAAAATCAGGAAAATCACCAAAAATCAAGAAAAATAAAAAGAGGTGAATAATATAAATAGTCACTACATATCAATGTCAGAGCCACAAAATCATGAAAAATCTCAGGTACAAGTCTCTCACCATACAAATACAGACATATCTCGGACCTTAAACCAAATCTAATAAACACAAAAGTATTATCTGACATCTGACCAACTACTAGTAGCATTCATACAGATTGTTCTACATCCTTACATCCAATAGAAAATGGGGAAGTCATAATCATATACTACAATCATCTCTAAATTGACCATCCTTACATCCAATGTCTTCTGGCATCTAGCCAAGTACTATCCAAAGTTACCAGACTTATTTCAAATCATGCACTGCTTCCACTAAGACATCTGCAGTAACACAAAATTAATGAAAATGGTGATCTCTCATGACACGTCTGGCTCTGGAAACTGCACTTGTATATGGCCAAAATACATATAGGTAAAAGGAGATTGTTCTCATGATGTCTATGGCTATCTATCAGGTCAGACTAAGATAAATGAAATACACAACTAGCTTCATGCTCAATGCTACTTGTCTTCATCCAAATACATCAACCAAAATAATCAGCGAGGACCAAACCAAATGAGTACTGCAGTAGCAAGTTGTATACTTGTCTTTCTAGATTAAGTTAAATATCTATTCAATAACTAACAGAGGGTAAATAAATATGCATTTTTGTTTTCGTAATTCACTTGTTATTAAGGCTACATACAGCAACCCTGATGGCCAACAAGTTAAAAAAACTGAATCACTATTATGAAAAACTGAATGGAGACTTAAAAAGAAAAAGAAAAACTGGAATGCCATAGCAGACAACAAGAAAGCAATGTGTCAGATATAGTAGAAATAAAAATATAAAATAAGTTACTACTACCTGAATAACGAGCAGAGGACAACTGTATGGGACTGATCACTATGACACTATTCTACACTGAGATCAACTGTACGATAGCAGATTTCTTTACCCCAAACAGGATCTCGTCACAAAATGCAGAAATAATTGAACTCTAATAGCAGAACAAAGAAACAGAGCAGCATAACAAGGACTGACGGAGCTGTCGAGAGACTGAACGAACAGGATAAAACCAAACCTTGCTGATGGAATGTCAGTCTCTTCCATAGCCACAGTCCATGGACCAGACGCCTTAGCATTTCGTCGAGAAGTTGGTGGACGTCCCTTTAAATTTCCACCCAAGCACTCAGCTGGCTAATCCAAGTTCAATGGACGTCTTGAAGACAAGAACATGCTGCAAGCGTGGGATGATTCTGCATTTGTGTACGGTGTACCCAATGCCTAGGTGGTTTCTCCCACTAATTCCAACATGCCGCTCGCCTCTGCTTGCACCAGTAGGGTATCCGCCCCATCCCTGCCCGTCAGTCGCGCTCGCCCAGCTAGTAGCCGCCATGGCTGCGCGTGTGGCGTGCGATCACCACCGAGGCATCGCACCCTTGGCACTGGCAGCTCCGCGTCACGGCGCTGCGAAGGTGGACGGGCGGGCGCGCATGGGGGCGGCGTACGGCAGCTCCAGCGGAGCGCCAACACGCATGGCGGCGGACGGCGGCTTTGAGCGGGTGCGGGGGTGGCGGCGGCTCAATCTCGCCACCCGCTTCCGAAGCAACAGATGAAATCCGGCGTTAGCACGTGAACAGACGACCGAGAATTTGCGAGACCGGGTTCTTTGGCGGCGAGGCGTGGGGAGGAACGTTGGTGTTCCTCCGCGCTCTGGCGGGGCGTGGGCGGCGCGACATGCGGAGGTGGGGATGAGGACCTCGGCTGTCGAGTAGCCCGAGTTCGTGATGATTCGCGAGGCGCGTCGTGTGATGAGTTCGAACTAATCTGTATGTATCAGACGGTTAATCTTGCACGGAGAGCCGATCGGCGTTTAGCGAGACTAGCAAGTGGCGTGGCCCAATAATAATATGGCGAGCTTGAACTCGGTTTGAAAGGTAAAGATAATCGATACATGTCAACAAAATCATCAAGAAACCCGATGATTAAGGCGGTGAAATTCACTCAATTGAGTGGAGATTGACGTGTGTACTCTTATTGAAGCGAGCATTGTATTAAGCCAAGTCATTACTCTGTCGAGTTAGTCACCTCCGATCAAAAAGTAAAATCTGAAATCTACCTCTAGTCACCATCTAGCGAGGCTAGCACACCAAATTGAACAAACCAAGACTACAATATTCGAGAGAATAGCATGACTAAGCTAAAAAAGCATTCGCCCGCTCATAACCAAGTCAAATCATCTCACACTCTTCAAGTCAAATCATCTCACACTCTTCAAATTTGCCTCTTGAGAGGCTTCAGATCCAACAACGATTGCATAACAAGACAGATACTACATCTACAAACAAATTGACCATCTCCTACACCGCACATGAAGCTACAACACGAAACCTACAAAGAAGACATCAAACCACCATGAATCCATGACCGACCACCACCAAAGCAGAATGCAACGAATCAATGGCAGGCGGAGAACTAACTCAGATCTCCGCGGCATCGTTGTTCTTCGGACGGGACAATGGGAGCGAAGCGATGTCTTGGCTCACGGACCGGTACCTCCAAGATCTACAAGAAACAATGGAAATCTGGGTCAAACTCTAGCGTATCGAGAAACTACGGTTGGGGAAGGAGATGCAGGTGGAGGAGGACCGACCTGCAGAGACGGATGGCGATAGCGGCGGTGGAGGGAGCGAGGAGGCGGCGGTGTGGGTGAGAGGCCGCCAATGTGATTTCTAGAGATCGGCGTGGAGCCGTGAATTTCGGGAGGAACGTCACCGCCGAAGCTATTTGGGAGATGCGTCGCCGGCCGTAGGGGAGAGATCGCCGCTAGTCGCCGCCACGGGTATGCGCCGACCACGAGATCTTTGGGGTGGCGGCGGAGGCCTCGCGACTCGCAAGCTAATGAATAAAGCGAACGAGTCGACGACAGGTCGAGGAACCTCATGGCCTCATGATCGGGCGGCTGGATGCTGCGGTGGCTCGCAAGTCGCACGGGGAAACCCTCCCGGCCTAACGAGTAGTGGATTTCTTCCTCGAGGAAAACGCTGGGAAGTGGGCTGCGATCCGCGCCTTGGTGGGCTGCCAAAGGGCGCACAAATTTGGCCCGGGTAAGAATGGCACGGGGCAGATTAGCCCAGGGAAAAGGCCGGGATCCCGCCGGGAATTTGGGCTGCCAAAGTAGGCCTAATGGGTGAGATCCCAACCCATTTCCACCCCATTCCAAATCTAATTAATTATTTCTCAACTTCACCCCACCCCATTCCAAATTAACTTAGACCCAACCCAACCCAACCCACTCTATCTTGGATTGCCAAGCTTCTACAGTGGGTTGCCATGGGTTTTGCAGCATACTTGAATACTACAAAATAATTTATAAAAAAAATTCACGGGATATTTAAGTGCTCAACAAACAAGCTCAGATCTTTTCCTGCAGTCGGTAGTTGAGAGAGAGCACAAAACTGCATGCCAGAGAATCATGGAGGAAAACTGCATGCCTGCCTTGCAGTTGCAGGTGAGCACAAAATTTTCACGACGATGAATCCAGTGGCCTCATCAGGCTGTGCTGCGATGAATCCAGAGAATCAAGGAGGAAAACAAGCTCAAATCTTTGACGACGATGACGCGCGGCCTCATCAGGCTGCGCTGCGGCGGCAACAGCGGCCGGCGCGCGGCACGTCGGACAGGACGAGCGGCCTCATCAGGCTGCACGGCGGCGGCAACAGCGGCCAGCTCGCGGCACGTCGGACAGGACGAGCGGCATCATCAGGCTGTGCGGCGGCGGCAACAGCGGTTGGCGGCACTTCGGGCAGGACGAGTGGCGGCCACCCACGAGCCAGCGCTGGATGCAGTGCGCGTGGAAGACATGGCTGCAGGCCAACATGACGCACGGCGTCCCCGTCCACGAACTCGGCGAGGCAGATGGCGCACTCCGCCGCGGCGCCCGTTAGTTTGGTACAGGCCGCGGAGTCCACCAGGGCAGGCAGCGGTGGCGTGCTGGGGCGCCTCCACCACAGGCTTTTCCAGGTCGGACATGTTGGCGTCGCTGTCCCACTGCCGTGTGCCCGGAGCTGGAGCCGGCGCGGCCGCGATGAGCTCGGCGGCTGCGACTGAGGAGGTAACACACGGCGGCGTTGAGCGCCAGCGTTGAACCCACGCGTTAACCATTCCAACCTATCCCAACCCGATTTGCTAGCAAACCCAACCCGTCTGACCTCTAAATCTATTGCCAGTTTGCCACCCATCCAAACAGTTCCATAGCACAACCCAACCCGAAAAACCAAATCATTACCCGACCCATTAGCAGGCTTAAGGGAGAGGCTGTTCGAGCTCGCCCTCGGGGCCCCTATGGAAACCGTCGCGGAGACCAAGACATCCCGTGCCGTGGATGACGCGGACACGGGCATGTCGCCGGAGGCCCAAGAGTTCAAGGAGTCGATGGACGTTTTGGTTCCCCTTCTCGGCACGGCCAATATGTGGGATTTCCTGCCCATGCTACAGAGGTTCGACGTGTTCGGCGTGAAAGAACAAGATCGCGGCCGCCGTAAGCAGTAGGGACGCGTTCTTTCGGCGGCTCATTGACGCGGAGCGGTGGAGGCTGGACGACGGCGTTAAGAGCGAGAACAGAAGCATGATGGCCGTGCTGCTCACTTTGCAGAAGTCAGAACCGGCTGCTCTAATAAGCCGGCTTAGGCTTATCAGTTATGGTATAGTGTTTTTCTATTCCAATAAATCAGACGTACAAATCAGCACAAGCGGCTTATAGACCAGCCGAACGCTGCCACAATGATGACATGATCATGTCTCTATGCTTCGTAAGTTGTAGTTGTCTCTTATAGATCGATACAATCTAGTAGTATCTATACAACAATGTTCTCTGCTCGCTCGCTTACAAGACGTACGCTCTGCATCTTTATTTGATTTTGCAGTCCATGTTCTCTGCGGGAACGGAAACCTCGGCGACCACGGCGGAATGGGCGATGTCGCTGCTCCTGAACCACCCCGAGGTCCTGAAGAAAGCACAGGGGGAAATTGATGCGTGCGTGGGGAATTCCCGCCCGCTAGGCGCCGACGACATGCCCCGCCTCAACTACCTCCAGTGCATCCTCACCGAGACCCTCCGGCTGTACCCGCTCGTGCCGACGCTGATCCCGCACGAGTCCACCAAAGACTCCACGGTCGGCGGCCACCACGTGCCAAGCGGCACGATGCTGTTCGTCAACGTGTATGCCATCCACAGGGATCCCGCGGCGTGGACGGACCCGGCCGTCTTCAGGCCTGAGCGATTCGAGGATGGCAGCGCCGAAGGGAGGCTCCTGATACCGTTCGGGATGGGGCGGCGCAAGTGTCCCGGAGAGGCCTTGGCGTTGCGGACTCTGGGGCTGGTCCTGGGGACGTTGATCCAGTGCTTCGACTGGGACACCGTCGGCGGCGTCCCCAAAGTTGACATGGCCGAAGGGGCTGGGCTCACCCTCCCGAAGGCTGTTCCTCTTGAGGCCATGTGCAAACCGCGCCAAGTCATGCTTGATGTCCTTCAGAAGTTGTGAGCGCCTTTAATAATATACTCTGCGCACAGAAGAAGTTGAGCATTATCATAAAATCTCTGTGGGGCTATGTTTATCCCACTTTTAATAACAGAAGATTTAACTATCTATATCTACTCGCAAACATGTTCGTACGTTGCAACGGAACATATCTTTTGTATTTTCTGTTGTAATAAGCTTTAAAGTAAAAAACTCTATACGGTCATGTGCTATCTAATTCATCACGGACTATTAATTTTAGTAAAACCAGATATAACTCTTATTATCAAGGAAGCGGAGGAACAAATAAGCTTGAGAGTGGAAAGAAATAAATTTTAGAGGAGATAAATTTTCTGTGTTTAACATAGATTTTTTTTTTGAAAATATTACATTTTAAAAATTGGAAGAAGCTATGTAGACACATGTATAGTCACAATGATTGGCAGGAGTGGACCCATCGACTCCTTAAACTTAGCATGTGTTTGATTTGGATGTAGGACAGGGACAAGGTGGGATAGCCCACTTCGTCCTGGTGTTTAGTTCTTGGACGGTATGAGGTTGTGATCAGGTAGGTAGCGATGGCGGCCTGATGATGGTGGTGGATGGAAAAAGAAGGTGAGCTAAAAAGGATGACAAGTGGCCCCACCTAACAAATTTCTAATTAACAGAATACCAATGGTGACAATCATGTTTCATCCTCGTCTCTCAAACCAAACAAACAAAGAACAAGGACGTCCCAATGCTCCAACCAAACACAGAGATAGAACCATTCCATTACAAAAATGAGAATAGATTCATCTGGTCCCTCTTATCCCAGACCCAAACACACACTTCAGTCAAGACTCGAGACACATCTCCTCACCAGTCACTTCTGTCGTTCTTATCCATTTATGTTCTGTCCAATTCTCCTGTTTTTTCCCCTCATCATCGAGTCTTCTGTGCTCTAGCTGCAAACAAGAAAGTTTCACGGTCGACACTGTGTGGCACCGCAGCTTTGCTTGCCGCCGTCGTGTTCTCGCGTACACTCCAGGAAGAAAGTGAGTGTCAAGCAATGAAGCAAACTATTGCTAATGCTTTACCGAAGAAAACTTACTTATTAGTTATTACACACATTATCCCGGTATCAACGATTCCTCGTGGAATCAAGCGTACACTACCATTCACATAAAGCTCACAGCCCCTTGAGGACCTCAAGCATAGCATGGCGCGGCTTGCAGATGGCCTCCAGAGGAACAGCCCTCGGGAGCGTGATTCCGACCCCTTCCGCCATATCGACCTCGGCGCCGCCGACCGTGTCCCAGTCGAAGCACTGGATCAACGTTGGACCAGCCCCAGCGTCCGCAGATCGAGCGAGGGACTCTCCAGGGCACTTTCGCCTTCCCATCCCGAAGGGCATCATGATCAGCCCTTCAGCACGGCCGTTCTCGAGCCGCTCCGGCCTGAACGCGGCTGGGTCCGCCCAGGTCGCGGGGTCCCTGGATGGCGTACACGTTGACGAGCAGCATCGTCCGCTCGGCACGTGGTGGCCGCCGACCGTGCAGTCCGCGGTGGACTCGTGCTGGACCAGCTTCGGCACGACCGGGTACAGCCGGAGGGTCTTGCTGAGATTATATATGGGTACGCAGCCGGTGGCATGACGGTCCACACGAAGCACACATTTCTGGCCTGGCCCAAGCACGCGGGCTGGCACGGCACAACCCGTATTTTAGTGGCAGGCCCGGTGACCATCCTGGCCTCGGCCTGCTAACAGCCCACCAGCCTCCTTTCTGTGCACACTAACCCTACCCCCTGCCGCCCCTCCACGCCGCAATCTCCACTCGCGAAGTCAGACTCGCGAGCCGCGCGCCCGCGAGGGGCATCGATGGCGCTTTCCCTCTCCTCCCGCCCCTCTCTCTCTCGATTCGCTTCCACGACGCGTCGAGGTCGAACAGAGCGCCGTCGTCTCCCCCATCTCTCTCTAGCTCGATGCCGGCGTGTCCCATCTCTCGAGCGAGCGGCGAGGCTCCAGCCGCTCCTTTGCAGTATGGAGGCGGGGTCGTGGAAGCGGCGACATGGAGGCGCGGGTCGAAGATCCGGAGCGCCACGGCACCGCCACCCTAGCCCCGACCCTCGAGCTTCGACCGTGCCGCCATCCACCAAGCTAAAGGAGAGCCATTGCCCAGTGCATCCTCCACGGATCCGGCCGGACCACGGCGGAACCACCAGCTACTTCGCGTCCTCCACGGAGCCGGCACGCCCTCCCCTCCTCCGCCAGCTACTACGCCGCGTCCTCCCAGGGGCGAGCTCACCGGCAGCCGCCGCCACCTCTAGGCCTCGCCTTCCCCTCCTATCTGTTCTCATTTAGTGTGCCCGGGCGGTTCGGCGTGCTAAAAAGGCCGTGTTTTTCGGGCGGCCTGGCACGGAAAAAGGACCCAACAGGCCGTGCTTGGGCCATCGGCCAGACATGAAGCCCGGGGAGGCACGGCCCGGTGGCATGCCGGGCCATGCCTGGCATGGGCCCGTGCTGTGTCGGGCCGGGCCGGCCCGGCCCGTTGCCCATCTATACTGACGATGCACTGGAGGTAGCTGAGGCACGGCACGTCGTCGGCGCCGAGCAGGCGGGAGTGCCCCACGGACGCGTCAATTTCCGCCTGCGCTTTCTTCAGCACATCGGGGTGGCTTAGCAGTAGTGAGTAGTGACATCGCCCATTCCGCCATCGTCGCCGTTGTTTCAGAATCCCCAGCGATCATGCTCTGCGAATTAGTAGACGGACATGACAAAACTCAAAACGGCGTAAATCCGTGAGCGTAGTTGTTGCCGTTACATTTCTTTCTGCTACTAGGAGCGTTGCTGTCAATTGTTATCTACTACAGCACCTTCGTATGAATGATATAAATCTAACGCAGTATTTAGTTAACAAATTTTAAATTTAATCTAATTTCTATAAGACAATACTACTAATTATATCATGTAATAAATATATGTATCAATAGACTCGCCGTTAATATATTTTCACTTCTCCTATACGTCAAATGCTTGATTGTTTTGTTGTTGTTCAACAAATAATATTGTCATTGTTTTAATATAAAAAAATATGAATTGCCTCTTGTTAGTTGTTATTTTAATTATACTATTAATTTTCTAATATTGTTACTTGAAAATTCAGGTCTGGTCAGTTGCTTGTATTAGTCTTAGTCGATATTAAACCTTACGCAGCATAACCTAAGCCAGAGTAGACGTATGCATTTTCTTGGTATTTGGTAGTTTTCACAAACACATTTGATAAAATTGTGTTTGATTGTTTACTTTTAGTTGTGTAGTCACCTCCATATTTTAGTTGAGGTTTCGTATTTCTATTAGAAGTATGGGGGTGAGAATATTTTATTTTGTATGCATATCGGTTTGTGCACACTTGCATTATCTAATACAACCAAATCTAGTGTATTAGCTAATACAATATTGGGTATGCTTTGGCACTGTGCAAGCCTGTATAAGAGTCTATGCAAAGAAACCAAACATGAACAAACTGCACTGCGTAATCCTAGATACAGCCTAATGCAAATAACTAATCAGAGTCACAGTAACTCATATATATATATTAAGTGAAATGGTGATTTTACCCTTATTTTTTTAAACTTTATGATTTTACTCCTGCTTTTTCAAAACGAAGGGAGACTCTACCCCTGTTCTGTTAAGCCCCTATAATGGTGTTAACTTTTGGACAAAAGGACAACTTTGCCCATGCGTTTTTACCCCTATTTTATTATGCTATTTATGTTTTTATCCTTGTTTTAGATCACCAAGTCGACATTTTGTATACAGATTTTTTAGAAAAATTCGACAGCATTTCTGCCGACAATCCATATAAACAGAATTTAATATCACACAACAAATTAATTTCACACATATTGCATTAACGGCAATAAACCAGATTCATATAACATGCCATCACAGTACCATATTAGATGTCAACATAGAGGTCCAAATAACATGTCAAACACCAATATAGAGGTCCAAATAATATGTGAAACACCAAATAACACGTGAAACAAAAGTAGCAACTAGTAGTGAGTTTCTAAGGCAACTAGTAGTGAGCTACATATCAAGCATTGAAACCCAACAAAGTAGCAAGCCTCCCAAAAGTTGCTCCTGTCCCGCTTCTTCATGTTACCCTTTCTGAAGCACTTGCACTTTTTATAAAAAAAAGGAGCATAATTATGTTAGTAAAGTTACTAAAATATGTAGTAAAGAGAAGCAAAGGTGTCATGTCTTACTTTGTCTCATTGTCGGCCTCTCCTGACCCTCTTCCCCTTCTGCTTCCTGTACCACTTGCACTTAACAAGAATAGAGTAAAAGCAAGTTAATATAGATGGCAATGCTGAAATTTGCTAGAAAAATAGTAACGAACAACAGCCATGAATCACATACATTGTCTCATTGTTGTCCTATGCTGAACCCCTCCCTCTTCCCCTTCCCCTTTCCCTTCCCCTTCCGGTTACAGTTCCACTTACACTAGCACTTATACTTGCACTAAATGTTCATTCGAAGAATTGTTAGTACAAGTAAATATGAATAATTGGGCTAAATAAATGAAATTGGACAGCAATGCAATTAGGAGCACACTAGCCCTCACAGTAGGGTGAAACCTTCTCTTTATTGGAGAAAATTGCAGTGGCCCCTCAAAATCATTTATCTGAGCATTGATACATACTAATCCGTCCTCTACATTAATTAGAAACCACTCTAACAAATTTTTATTAGATTTAATTTTCATAGAATCATTCTCCAAATCACGCCACAAGGTAATGTACTGTTTAAAACCCCACAAGCAATGCTCAGCAATGAAATCAACTAGCTGCAGCAGCCCAAAGCTATTTGTGTCAATAACTTTGGTCGGCAAAGTTCTACCTTGCCACCATGTTTTTGGACCACTGTCAGTCAAGCTGAAATACGAGCGCACTCTAACAACAAGTTCCAATTTACTGTGATTTAGCCTACAAATCATAGCAGGGAAGAAACGAGTTAACACATTGTAACACCCCTA